AGCCCGCCATCCCTCCCCACACCCCAAACTTCCTCCCCACGAAATCTGCACCCCAAACCCCGCTCCCACACCCAAAATGCCCTCCCAGAGCCTTAGGCAGGTGTGTGTGTGTGTGTGGAGGGGGGGGACTTGGACCTTTTCTGGGCACCACCAGAAATTATACAAACCTGGCGCCCCTGCAGACACATGGCACAAGGCTTGCACAGGTTACCAGGGTTAGACCCACTGGTGTGAGTCTTACTTTGCACCATCCCAGCGTGTGTCCCACATTAGTGGTTTGCATCAGCATTTATCTATCAGGACAAGGTCTGTAGAGATGGGGCAGGTTCTCCATCACTGGAATCATTAAAAGATTATCTGTCTCTTCCTAAAAGTTCCACTCCAGCTCGACTACCAGATATGGGCTGGATATAGGAATCGCTAGGTGGGATTCTCTGGCCTCTGCTATGCAGGAGGTCAGACTAGATGCCCGTAACAGTCCCTTCTGGCCGTAACATCTATGAAAAACGACAGTGCAAACTTCCTTAATGCAGACAGGAACCTAGCTAGTTAGATAGAGCCTGATCCAAACACCACTGAAGACAATGGAAGCCTTTCTGGGTTTCAGACCAAACCATTAGGTAGTTAATAGGAGCACAACAGAAAAGAAGAGGGGTTTGGTATTTCTTGTTTCCCTGTGTTCCTCTGCCTGTCTGTCTGTCTCCACCTATCGGCCCATGTCTTACACTTTGGCTGGAAGCTCTTTGGGGCAGGAATTGGCTTTGTGTTCTGTGTTTGTACAGCACTTCACACAATGGAGTCCTGGTTCATAACTGGGGCTCCTGGCTGCTGCCATAATACACCTAACAGGTGAGTCTGGGATCCATAGACAATCACAGCCCTTGTTAGAGCCAATGAGTGCCAAATATCCACTTTTAGACACAACAGGAGGAGCAATCAAGCTCATTTATGTAGTGAAACAGCTGCAGACAATGGAAGTGACCACCCAAGGCACCAGGCTGCATAGCAGGAAAGAGCCGTGCGGGCTGAGAGGGGCCCTGGTTGCAGTCCCAGGTGCTCAGAGCAGCCTGTGTGTGCGGGAGGCTGAAAGAGCTATGAGCGGGAGCCTGGCAAGAAGCAGAGATGGAGTTTCTTGGGCACAGAGCCCGCTGAAGGGGCAGACAGGGGATTTCCAAGAAAGGGAACAGCCTGCAGCTGTTTGTTCCTGCTGTGTTCAAGGGAACAAGATATTGTAACTACCAAGATCACAATGAGAACAGACCTGCCTGGGAGCAGCAATTGCTCCCTCTAACAGGAACAAACCCGACAGCACCTCAGATTTTGGCTTCCGCCAAAGGGGCAACATCGGTAATACAAATACACGGACACTCATAAGTAAACTGAATTGTTACCGTTGCCTCTCAGCACAGATTGATCAGTCCGCAACTGCTCCAGCTCCTTGGACATCTCCGAGTCTAGACAGAAGGACAGACACCTGCTGTTGTTTATATGGTTTGTGGTGGGGAGGGGACTGAGTTTTCAATTTGGATTCACAGCATAGAGAGAGATGCTGCATTTCTACTTTCCAACTTCCCCCTGTGAAGATAATCTCTGAAGGTGGGATCCCCAAAGGGATTTCAGCGTTGCAATGCTGAGCATCACGGTGCCTAGAAAATCCCAGGAACACCCACAAAGCCGAGTTACATGCCTAGGCTCACATACAATGAATGGGGAGAGCAATGCACCTGAGTGCAATTCGCAAAACCTAGCACACTAGGCGGGGAGCTGAGTAAGTAACCAATGGGAGACACTGATGAGCCAAGCCCCACCCTTTTCTCAGAGCTAGGCATGCTAGTCCAGGCTGCAGGAATGGGAAGTATCTAGCTCCGCTAGTGATCCACAAACGGGAACTCCTCTCCTGGCTTAGGCACCTGGGTAGTGTCTTGTGGGAATGAATTAGGTGCCTGCCTCGTTCTACACAAAATGCAGGGGAGGAGGTGCTGCTGCCCACCTTATAGCCCAATGGTTAGAACACTTGCCTGGGATGTGGATGACCCAGGTTCAAATCCCTCCTTCCTAGCAGAAGAGCAGAAAAGATTTGTATAGGGGCTTAGGTGGAAGATAGGCATCTAGATGCCTTGAGGGAGGCAGCAGTGCGCCTGCCTAGAGGTGTCAAGTGAGTTTAGGGGCCTACAGCGCTCAGTGAGAATTTTGTGGATTGCAGTAGGAGACTTAGGTGCCTCATTGGCTTCAAGGATTCCACCTGGAATGACCTCTGCCCTGGTGCAATCTGACCAACTCCAGAGGTTAAAAACCAATCACAAGATTGGCTTAAAAATCATAAGATTTATGAAAAATGATAGACTTTAGTTTTCTTTTCTTTGCCTTCTGGTTTCTTAGCCATTACGTCGCTTTCCCAAGTTTTTCTCTGCAACTAGAATCCGTCTCAGTATTTTTAAATGAAAGCTCAGAGTCTCACCTAATCACAAGACTCCTGGAGTTGGGGCTTTAATTCAAACATCACCTAGAGTTGGCAACGCTGAGGCTGCTATGTGTAATGACACCTAACAAGGCTCCTCAGCAGGACGTGAATCCCTGCTATCTACAGCAAAGCTCTCTTGAGCTACAGGAGCTACTCTGTTAGCTGGCAGGAGTAGTTAGGCTGTTATCCTGTGCGGAACAGCTGCTAGAGGGTGTCCCAACACATATTGCACTCACTTGTACGTGTGCATACATTCAAGAATCAAACACCACAGTATCACTGCTCACAGTGCAGGCCTTGGGAAGGGGCCCCACAGCTGTGAATTGGAGGGCAGGCGGCCTTACTTAATGAGTCTTGTCTTACAATTAGCAGCACTATGGCACAATGAAATACATTGCGGGGGACTATATCCCTTCTCCTGCAGTGTCTTGACACTGGCCATTGATAGAGATAAGGGGACCTGGCTGGGAGGGACTCATGGCCTGAAATCCTGGCCTTGCTGAAGCCAGTGAGAGTTTGGCCATTGACTTAATGGAGTCAGGATTTCACCCCTGGTCTTTTCCACTGGGTCCATTCCTGTGTGATAGTCCTAAACGCGCTCTGGGATACTTACACTTTCCAATCACCATGGCGAGGAGGACGGCCCATAACACAAATGACACGGCGTGCACAGCGTAAAGGGTTAATATGGACTTTTCCTCCCCATTCACACCCCTACCACACTGCATCAAGGAATTCCCTGGAAGGCAGAAGCAAAGACAGCAGGAATTAGAGCACCAGTCCCTGCCCTCTGGCGAACTGGTGCTGCGGGGGGAGGTGTGCTCTGAGCCTCACGGGGAAGGCACTAGGGGAATTCAGAATTCACTATTATTGTAATTCATAAACAAATAGTGATGGATGTACCGCTGGGGCCAGGAATCTCTGTGCAGCACAGCGCATGCAGGGGAATTCACACCTCCTCTATCTATCTATCTACGTATCTATCCCCAAACACCCCCTCTATCTATCCCTATAGAATCAGAAGATTAGGGTTGAAAGAGACCCTAGGGGGGTCATCTAGTCCAACTCCCTGTTCAAAGCAGGACCAGCCCCAACTAAATCATCCCAGCCAGGGCTTTGTCAAGCCAGACCTTAAAACCCTCTAAGGAAGGAGATTCCACCACCTCCCTAGGTAACCCATTCCAGTGCTTCACCACCATCCTAGTGAAATAGTGTTTCCTAATATCCAACTTAGATCTCCCCCACTGCAACTTGAGACCATTGCTCCTTATATCCACCCTATATATCTATCATTTGCCCTCCTGGATTTCCATTGAGCCTAAAGCCCCAGCAGTTAGAGAACCCCATTTCCTGGGAGTCCCCTCTGTTTTCCCAAGGATCCTTTGGGGGAGCCAGGCCATGAGATCCATGTGAGATGCTGTGATGATTCCCCCCACCACCCCTTTCTTCTTTGATTGCCTTCCACCATCAGGATACAGCTCCACAGCTGCAACCCCGCCTACATCTCCCCCTCACCCCCTGTTCGATCCGTGCTCCCCTCCTGATGGTCGCCTGTACCACCTCCCTGTGGCCAGCCCTGGCCTCCCCTCCGGCACCCTATGCTCCCCCATACACTGTCCTCCAGGATTCCATCTTGCTGCAGACTCATGCACCATGAAGCCTGCCATGCAGAGAGGCTGCCCCCAGCTCTGTGCTGCTCTGTCCTATCCCCTGTAGCCTCCTGCAGGCAGGAACCAGTCCTTGATTCAGAGCATTGCTTCATGCACAGTACCCTTACTCATCAGCCAACCCCCCTTCCCCCAATGCCCCAGCCCACTGTGCTGCTGTCAGCAGGGGGGCTGGGGAGGGGAAGGAAGCAGCTGTGTCTCTAACCCCCACACCTCACATCAATGCCCCCCCACCACACACACATATCCCCCTTCACTTTCCAGAAATGAAAATAAAGAGGAAGAAAAGAAGCACAAATCTGCTGTAAGTGCAGAATTGCACGAGGCATGTTCCTATGGCGCAACGCAGGGACATCCCGCCTGATCAGCAGGACTCTGGATCTGAAATGCCTCTCGTAACGCTTCCACCACTGGGCCTGCGACAGGGATCAGGGCCAAGGCTCTTGATGGTATAACCTGCAATTGTGTATGATGGGCTCCACTACCCAGCAACTCGCACATCATGGACACTAGTCCTGAGTGCAGTATGGGTGCAACATCTATTTATCCATTCAATCCCATAAACACTAGCCATCCCTATACAACCCCATCCATCCATCCCCATACTCCTCCATCCGTCCATCCCCATACGCCTCCATCCGTCCGTCCATCCATCCATCCATCCATCCATCCATCCATCCATCCATCCATCCCCATGCACCCCCCTCCATCCATCTGTCCATCCCCATACACACACATCCAACCATATCTAGCTCACAATCTCCATACACACCAGTTCATCCACATCTATCTATCCATCCATCTATCTATCCTCACACAGCACCCCTCCTTCCCCATTCACTCTCTCTCTCTTGCTCCCCCTCCTTTTAACCCACTCATTGCCATAGTATGCAAGCACCAAACATCTGACGAAATGCTGCTGAGACAAGCCTGGAATTCTCTCAGCCTGGCTCTGCCAGCTGTGGTGTATGAAACGCCACCTTCCAGAGTACAGACCTGCCTTCGAGTCTGACTTCGCTGCTGAGCACTGTGCAGCTCCATAAGTAGGGCCCAATCCTGCAAACCTCGCTGACACCGCCCTCCTCTTGGCTTCACTGGGGTGTGGAGTCTGCAGGATCAGGGCGTGCTGATTATCAGGAAATGATTGCGCACACTCCCACTAATGCAGCCTGGGGTTACCTGCTCTCCCAAATGTCATTTCTGTCTCCTGTTCCTTGAGTGTCTCTTGGTCGGACTCTTCACACTTTTGGTAAATGCTGCCTGAAGGCATCGCTCTGAACCTCTTCCTACCCCAACGGCTCCAGTGGCTTTTATACCAGCGGAGGCTCTGAGCAGCTTTCCTGGAAAAGGAAACACATGTACCCAGCCACTCTTCCTCTCTTCAGAACACAGAGATCTGTGACCCTGTCACTTCTCCTCTAGCAGCTGGGAGCCTTTGTACAACCAGTATTCCTGGTGCAGCTGAAAAATAAGAGCCACCCACACAGTGACCCAAGGGGCACAGACAATCTTTAAGTGGGAGGATCTGTTTGGAGCTGGGCATGTCCTTACCCTGGGCCCCGCAAGAGGGGTTCTCCTGTGTACAGTCTGTGAACATTGCTGCTCAGGGAAACAGAATGGTGAACATCTTGTCAATAAACAAACGGCACTAAGAAAACACCTGACTCCACGTCACCGATTTGTGCTCCAAACAGGAAGCTAATCTACAAGGGCCTGAAAAACTGCTTGGCAAAGGGCACCAACGTCTTTCTCTCTTTTCAGGGTCTTTGTGCCATTGATGGCACTTGGCATCTTGTCAGTTTCACTGGTTTGCAACCCTGCATAGGCTGTGAGTCAGGTTCCCCTGTTGTTTGCATTGGTCTCTCTCACAGTGCCAGGGAGGGGAAAACAAGGAAAATGTGACTGTAAAAGTACAAAAATTGGCAGGGGGAGGAGTAGGAGCCGAAACAACTTGTGTAACTAAAATCACTAGGGGGGAATATTTTCAAAAGCATCTAAGGGGATACCTACACTGCAACAAAAACCATGTGGCATGGCCGCGGCTGACCCAGGTCAGCTAACTCGGGCTTGTGGGACTCAGCCTGCAGGGGCTAAAAATTGCAGAGTAGACATTTGGGCTCGGGGGGCGGGGAGGCTTTGAGACCCTCCCCCTCACTGTGTTTCAGAGCCGGGGCTCCAGCCCAAGCCCGAACGTCTATACTGCGATTTTTAGTCCCACAAGCCCGAGTCAATTGATCCCAGTTCTGAGACTCAGTGCAGTGGATTTTTTATTGCAGTGTAGATGTACCCTAAGTAATTTAGGAGCATAAATCCCAGTTTCAAAAGGTACTTGGGGCCAGATTTTCAAAGGTATCTGGGGCCTAGAGATGCAAAATCAGCTCTCCAGCCCAGAGATTGTAACAATGAGGTGGGTGTCTCAGAGAGTTCTGTTCTGACAAGAGTTCTTAAGAAGGGGGACGATATCTTGAGTTCTGGTCCCTGACCAGGACTCCTAGGTGCTACTGTTATACAAATAAATAATAATAGTCTGTTCCTCAAGACACGGCTCTAATCTCCAGCTGGCTGACTCAAAAGCCAAGAGAGCTCAGGACAGAGACACTGACAGTGACAGCGCTGCAGAATGGTTCCGAAAACTGGGCTGAGAGGGGAACCCAGCAGAGGAAGAGGAAAAGGAAGATCTCACCTGGGCCAGCAGGTAAATAATTGGCCTGGCTCAGCCTCCTCTCTGTGGGCTGCTCTGCCTCAGTTTTTGCACCAATGTCACTAAATCGGGTGAAAAACAACGGGATCATCTCACCCTCCCTATTCACTGCAGATTCCAGCTCCGAGCTTCCCCCCTTGCTTTTAAAGATTTCCAGTCACTTGCTGCAGCTGGCTGCTCAGGCCTAGTGTCTCCCTGCTCCCCTTTTCCCAACTGGACCTTCTCTGCCCATCCCACAATCTCGCTGCCATTGGCACCAGAGCCTTCTCCTCTGCTGTTCATGCTGTTCAGCACACGGTCCCTGTATCCCCCAATGCATCGATTCACCAGCTCTCCTCAAACCCCACTGGGCAGTGTCTCTCCAGCCCACCATCAACCCCCATCGGACTGTCCATCCTCAGGCCCATTGGCAGCGCTGGACATCGCTCCCATCATGGGGGGGTCGCACAAAACAGTCTCAGGGAGTGTCAGCCAAAGCATAGGCCCAACCCCGCCAGCCACGGGTGTAGGCCTTGCTAGAGCCCTAGGCATAACTAACAGTGTGAACCAAAGGCTGTGAACCAGAGCAGGCCTGGCCTTAGCAGAACAACACACTAGGCATTGGCTAATGCCAAGTAAGCACATTCATGGCCAGAGAGGATGGTATAAAAACACACAGCTGTCTCACACCTTCCCCTGGGTTTGAGACCTCTGGGAGCTGCGATGATAAACAAAAGGCAACAGGCTGTTCTGGTCAGTCCTGCCTTCGCTCCCAGATGCAATGAGGAGATGTATGAAAGGAGCCTGAGAAGCAGTGAGGGCAGTAGGCCAGGCAGAGAGTCCAGGCGGCCTCAGCCAGGGGCACGTGAGGGGTTGTTTTCTGAATGGTGCCCCAGAGGGGCCCAACAGAAAACGTTCCTGTCCCTCCCTTAGCAAGCAGCTGTGCCGAGTGGGGCTCTGCTCTGGTTTGCTTGGGCACGGCCCGTCACCTCTCTGGGCCTCGGACCATTCTGTCCCATCCAGTCAGCTCCTCAGGGCGTGGGTGTTTCTCACAAGTTCTCCAGACCAGCAGACGTGGGGTAGTATACAACGTACCCTGCCAGCACTAGGGTTTGAACACATGTTAGGTGACGTGGTTTATAAAAGCACCTCTCACCTCCCAATAGGTCTCTTATTACTAAGAATAAGATTATGTCATGGACGCCATGGGGGACAGGGACCCCTGGAGTTCTCAGCCATCATGGATGGGGGGGAGGGGAGGGGAGGCTGGAGCTCCCAGCCACTGCGGATGGCAGGGGGACCCCAGGAGCTTTCAGGTCACAGGTGGCAGGAGAACCCTGAAGCTGTCAACCACCGTGGGCAGCGGGGGGACACTGGAGCCATCAGCTGCTGCAGCTATCTGGGGTGGGGGGACACCGGAACTCTGAGACGCTGGGGCTGCGGCGGGGGTCTGGAGCTGTCAGCCGCCACAGCAGCCGGTGCTGGACTCCCCTCCTCCCCCTGTCTCATGCAGCAGGGCTTGGGCTCTCTTCTCCCACTTGGGCTTCAGTCAGCCCCCCATCAGCACTGCTCCCCATTATTTTTAATAAAAGTCACAGATAGGTCATGGGCTTCTGTGAATTTTTGTTTATTGCCCGTGACCTGTCTGCGACTTTTACTGAAAATAACAGTGATAAAATCTTAACCTGACTCATCGCCTCCCCCTTCAAGCAAGGGAGAGCCCTCCCCATGTCACAGAGGGGGCTCTGCACGGGGCAGCTGCAGTGACGGGCCAAAGGGCACACACAGGGCCTGGAGCTGAGGCAGGAACTGAATGCAACCCTCCTCCAGGCCAGCCCGATGGCCTGCCCCCCCGGCCATCCTTCCCACCTTACCCTGCTCTAGGCGAGGCCTTGGTGTCTGTGCAGCAGGGACCCCAATTGTGACTGGGGCCTCTAGGTGCTACCATGGTAATAATGGAAGCAGAGTGTTGCTGGGTAACCCATTGGTTCACGGTCACACAACTGGAACCAGTGAGGGGCCGGTAACCACCGGGGCTGCCCTGCTGCAGCTGTGTCAGTGCACTCCAGAGGACGTAGCAGCTCTTCTGGGGAGCAGCAGAAGAGGTTTGTGCATTTCTGGAGAAGAGCCTGGTCGTGTGGGTTTCGCAACCTCCTTCATTGCAGGGCTAAGAAGGGACGAAGCTTTCCCATGAGCGATGACTCACGCTGCAACCCGTGCTGTCACTGATGCAGAGCGTGGGTGAGGAGAGCAATGCTCCATCCTGGTGGTGGGGTTCTTGGTCGTGGTCGGTGTCCCCATTGCACCCGAGGCTTCTAAAATGTAAATTGCAGATCAGGATTGAATGGGGGGTGGTGCTTGTGACACTGCACCCCATATTTGCCATGGTGATGTAATTATGGTATGTTTTGTACAAGGTATACCTTGTGAGGAGTCATTCTAAAAGTCTTGATCTGCTAACCATTAATATCTCGGTGGATTGTATGTGCTACCATTGTATGTGAAGTTATGAAATCTTGCTATGTGTGTGTTACTAAAATATGATGTGAGGTTGGAAACATCCCAAACCAGCCTTTTGGGTACAACAATGGAGTAGCCAGACAGTGCTAATTGCTGTCATCAGCACCCGTCAAGGGAAGAATCCACTAGCACAGGAATTCTGTATAAGGAAGCCTCCTCCGAGGGAGCACGTAGACAATGGAGAATGTTTGGCCAATGGGGGTGAACCCCTACGTCACATGCATAGACTTTCCAGTAAAAGATGGGGAGTGACATCATCACTTGTCTTCACACCCCCACAACTCAACACCTGAAAGAACCTCTGGAAGAAAATGGACTTTAAACAGGAGAGGGGAACCCAGGCTGCAAAGCAGATGCAGTCTGTGCCTCAAGAATCTGTAAGCCTGTTTGTATCATCAGTCAGGGTGAGATATTGCTGATTAAGTCCTATCTAGTTTGTATACATTTTAGATTGCGATTTTGTTTGATTTCCTATCACTTACGATCACTTAAAATCGATCTTTCTGTAGATAATAAACCTGGTTTTATGTTTTATCTTAACCAGTGTGTTTTTGAGTGAAGCGTTAGGGAATCTTAGCTCTGTTAACAAAGGCTGGTGCTTATCTGCCCCACATGGAGGGGGGAGAAGACTAATTAAGGCGCTTGCACCATACAGATCCCTGTGTAGTGCAAGATGGTATAATTCTGGGTTTATACTCTTGTAGGGGTGCAAGGCTGGAGAGCTGGGAAATTGGCTGCTGCCTCCACTGTTGGTCCACGAGTGGCTTAGGTAAAGCACTCGGGTGACTCAGTTGGGTGTGTGGCACCATCGGCTGTCATGTTGGGTGATAACAGGGCTCAGAAGGGATGGCTGTGTGTCACCAGCAGAGCAGGGGGAGAGGCCAACCCAGCTGAATGGTCTGGGGGCACAACAATTCCAACAGCTTCCAGGCTTCACCCCGGGGGTACGTCCTGTCACAGAGGTCTTCCAAACTCCTCCCACAAAATAAGCTCTGTCCATGAGACCCAGCTTGCAGAAGATTGTGTAGATGTCCCAGATAGAATCATGCATGTTCTCTGGACCCAGCAATCCCACAGTGGGGTCTAAATGCAACCCTGGGCTCTGCTGGGGATTGGCTTCCCTCTGGTAACGCTTGTATGCCCTGCTGGTGAGACCCCCGCTGGATCCCAAGTCAAGTTCTGGTGTCCACACTTCATGGCAAATTGGAAGGGTTCAAAAAAGAGCTACCAGAATGATTCAAGGTTTGGAAAATCTGCCATAGAGTGAG